GACTTCACCGCGGCGCTCGGAGGTTTATGGTGCTCTGCTTTTGCAGCCCTGGCAGGGACAGGGGTTAATTAAAATCCTCGTTGAACCTAGAGAGGTCCAACGAGGGGAAACAAACACCTGCAGTCTCCTCCGGGTCCCGACACGCACTTGCCATCTCGGCACAATGAACCTGCCGCACGCCGCCTTTGCACAGGTGGGGCAAACGGGGGCCTTTAAAAGCACTGAAAACAGGGACCCGTTCCCTCCAGACCCAAACAGCCAAGAGCTCGGCCATGATTTTAGCACAATCCTCTCCCTAAGACCCCGGGGAGGGGAGTGGGGAAGACATTTGCTCTTGCTCCAAGCCATTCAAGCTCCATCAAGGGAGAGCACACCTTGGCCGTGCTTTTTCTATGCTGGCTGTAAGCAAGTGCAGAGCTGAGAGCTTCCCCACAGCAGACACGTGGCACCGGGGTGGTGGTTCCCCTGCCACTGTGCACCGGCTCATCTCCATCCTCTCCTGCTCCTGCCCCCATCCATCCCCACAGCCTCCTGCCCCAGCCCTCTGTCCATCTGTGCAGGTCGCAGACACACGCAGAGGAGAGAACAAGCTGTGACCTGGAGCTACCATCTAAGTGGGGACCGGGCAGAGGGAGGTGGGGGTCTGCAGCATGCAGAGGGCTGCTCTTCAAGCCTCCTCTCCTCTCCCCCAGACGTGCAGGAAGCCAGCCCAAGGGCTTGCTCAGATACTGGGAAAAATCTAGCAAACTTTGCAAAGCTTGGGCTATAAATGACTTAGTGCTGGGCAGAGCCTCACCCCCTCCCTGGCAACTTCTGAAGAAGCAGAAAATTATCTTTGCAAAGGGCTTCGCTCTCAGCAGAGTGAAGAGACAGCTGGGCCTGCTTTACTCCTGGCCTGGCCTCCCCCGCGAGCTGGTGCATGGAGAGCTGCAGCCCGGGCTGTGCATAGTCCTCCCTTGCCCGGAGCCCTATCTCTGCCTGGCTGCTGGGAGCTTGTGGCAGCTCTGCTGCAATAAGCTTCTCTCGAGCTGCTCCCAGTCCTCACCAGAGAGTCTGCTGCCATTAAATTGATTCAAACCCCCAATTTTAAGGGAAGACGGCGCCGCTTTTGCATCCCAGCATGGCTATACCATTAGCAAGCCCTGGGGACAGCCGCCAACAGGTGTCTGGGAGCGATGTGCAGGCAGCTCCTCTCCCTCAGAGGCAAAGGGCTGAAGCATGGGGACTTTTGTCTCCCTCCTGTCCCTGGCATGGCTTTTTTCCCATACAAATCATGCTTTACCACCCACCTGGCATCAAACCGCTTGAACCCGCCGCGCTGCAGGTCTGGCATCTAAACCTTGGCTTGATAAAGGGCTCCAGGCCCAGCACTCACGACCACAATACCTCATTTTCATGTGGGACCTGCCTGAGGTCTCTAATGCCCGGGGCATCCCTAACGCATCCTTCTTTGTTCTCTCAAAGCCTCAGTTAATTAATTCCTCTTATGGCAGCGGCATAGAGACGCAGACCTCGCCATCAGCCCAGCATGAGAACGGGAGCCCTGTCCCGCAAGCCAGATGCAAGTGGAGGGCTTGGGGGGTAGTCTTCGCTATTAAACTGTTGTGAAAGTCAGTGCCCATGATATGCTTTCTGCCCTGGATGGCTGGGAAAGTCCATGGTGTAACTGAGGGTCCAAATCTGCCCCATGCAGGTGTTCAATGCACCTGGGAAGGGCTCGCAGGGGGAGGAAAGTTGAGCCACAACCTGGTTAGAAACATCATTTTGCCAGCAGACATCTGCAAAATGCAGCTCTGAGGCCATCTACCCCCTGCCTCAGCTGGTTTAAAAACACCGGATCTCAGGGGCTGCTTCTCTGTCACCGTAGCTAGTAATGCCAGGGCAAATTGTGCCTACCCTGAGTTTGCACCAGAATCAGGGGCTGCGCAATAAAGCATTGGGGAATAGCCGTTGTAGATGGGACCTGCACATGCCTGCTTGGCAGCATGGCATGGGAAGGCAGAGGGGTGCTGCCTGGGGAGGGGCTGGTCTACAGGGGAGCCCTGTATTTGAGCCCTGAGGCCAGGTGTGGCATGACTCTGGGCAAAGCCATGGGCATTGCTTCCAAAGCAGTTGCTCCAATTTGGGGTGCCCCAGCAGGGCCCCGCTAGCTATCAAGAAATGGGGTGTCCCTAAGTTTGAGGCCCCCTTCCTGTAGGGTGCGAATAACCGCTCTGTGCGTCTGTCTCTGCTATTTGCTCGGCTAAAAACAGCATTCGCGTTAGCTGGGATTGTCCCAGGGCAAAGTGTTAATTCAGATGCATCCCGTGAGACGATAGGGCTGGCCTCTGCAGGACCCCAAGATTAAAAGGCTTTGCCCTGGGAGAAATCCAACCTCTGTTTTTAGCCCTGGATACCAGGGGAACAAATCCTATCTGAATACCTCTGACTACATCAAGTGCAAGGCAAGCGGGGGCAGGAGTGGCTGTACGCCTGGTTTTCTCCATCCTAAAAAACCCCCGGTGCTGCTACAGCTCCAGAGCCTGCGCCCCAAAGCGCGGGGGGCCAAATTCAGACCCCACTTCTCTCATTACAAGAGCATGGATTGCTGTGTTCCCAGGGCTTCCCGTTCTCCCAAAATCACCGGTCACAAGGGACCTTGCTGGCTACATGGCTGGAGACTAACTGGGACTTTAAAAGGGAAAAAAAAAATCTCTGTTCGGTTTCCCTCGCTCCCCCACCAGATTGCCCGATTAGAGTTTCCCAATCGTTGCAGCTGCTCCCATGGGGGCAGGCCGGGGGCATGGAGCAGATTAGCATCAGTACATTTTTCTTTGCAGCCGAATCCAACCATCAGCACTTGTCCTAGCCCCAGGCACGCAGCCCTCACTGCTCCAGCTGACGTGTTTATCCCTATCACCATCCCATCTTGGCATTGTGAGACCGGACCCCACCTCCACCGTCCCCGACTGCCTTTCCAAAGCCAATTCTGCTCTGTCCTGCTTTTCCAGGCGAGCTTTGCTCCAAGCCTCGGGACCAGGAGGACCCAAACCTGCCAACCCAGGACGCAGACCTGCCAGGCCCAAAGGCTGTGGCTCGAGTCCAGACCGATGCTGGCTAGTGCTGCCGGGCTGGCTCACACCTGGTCCACCCCAGCACTGTGCAGGTGCTGATACGGATGCAGGCTGGACCAGGCTCTGTAGGCTACCGGCAGCGCTAGGCATCCAGCTCGCTCGGACTGGAGAAGGCATCCCATCACGAGAGGCACTAAGGCCTCCATGCACCCGAGTGCCTTCCTTTAGGGGATTTACAGAGACTCCTTCTTTGCCTATCAGAGTTTGTCTCCTCCTCCCCTCTGTAGCGCCGGCGGTCATGGGTATGCTGTGCACAGGCTGACATGAGAATAAGCTCAGCCCCTGCCCTGACATCTCTCCGAGGCAATCATCAAGCATCCCTCTCACCTCATCCAGTCCTTCAAAACCATCTTCTCTGCATCAGCAACGTCCATGCCCAGATAAAACAGCCACCTGTGCAGAACTAGTCTCCAGCTGCTTGCAACGTGCGGACACGGCAGACCCCCCAAGCCAGGCATCTCCAAACCCCTCCTGCCGAGGACTCAAAGACCCGAGCTGCTAGGCACACCCTCTGCGAGCTTGGTAGGGAAAAGCAAACAACGTGCATTGCTCAGGAAAGGAAAAGGACAGGCAGACAATGGCTTTGGGACTTGTGGCCACTAAAATCACCAGGGAGGACTCTCAAGTCGTCTGCCCCAGCCCCAAGTGCAGCGGGGCTGGACCCGATGATCTGTAAGGTCCCTTCCAGCCCCTAACATCTATGAAATGAACCTAACCCCACCGCTAGCTCAGGACTGACTCTCTCCCAGCCTGTTTTCTAAAGCAGCAGTGTTTTCCCTGGCTCCCAGGCCACATCCAGCCCATGTCAGCCCACCTGCAGGTCTCCCCACAGGTCTGGAAATGTGCAGCATGAAGCCAAATTCCCAGACCTGCGGGCCAGGTGATGAGGCCCTGCAGGCGAGATCAGCATTAAGGGGGCAGGGAAGAAGGGCACATTTTACATTGAAGAGAGCATTTTTTGGCCAGCCGAGTTTGAAGGGAGAAAGGGGAAAAGCAGCTGCTCTGAGATCTGAGGCGGGAGAGCCAGCCCCGAGCTGATGCCCACCCGCAGCTAGCGATGGGAAAACACGCAGACACGGAGGTGCCTGGCTGCCTGACTGGGGACAGGGATGTTTTTCTTCGGATGTGATCTGAGTTTTGTTGCTTCCCTAGTGGCAGGAACGCCACTAAGTAACGCACCGGCAGCCTCCGAAAGCCGCGGGGGGCCGGGGGACCTGCTTAATGATCAAATAATACAAAGATTTGAATATGGGGCGTGAGGAGGACCTGCATATTTTCCATGCCCTACCGGAGGGTTTGGCTGTGAAGATGTGCACTGGTGCTCTCAGCCAGCTTCAGTGTCCCCAGCTGCATGCCCTGCTTTGCAAAGACGCAGGCAGAAATGTCCGTGCGTAAGACACACCGGGGTGGGATGGAGCATGCCAATGCGTGCAAGCACATAGCATGAGCACCCCGGGCTGTGTCCATGCCGCCCTGCTGGACAGGGCTGCCTCGGCCCCGCTGTTTCCTTATGTGTGAACGCAGCCTGCATGCCAGGACCCCTGCCATCGTCCCTGTGGGTAACGCCAAAGGGATCAATGGAGTGGCAGCAGGGCTGAGCTTGGCCTGGGACTGCCTGCTTTAAATGCACACGCATGCATGTGAGCTTTTCCAAGGGGTGGCTCTCAGCGTGTCATCTGAGCTACATCCTTCTCGGGACTTGACAGCCAACCTGCCTGCGGCTGAGCAGTTCGTCTGGGTACGGGACCCTGCCCCCTTCCCCATGAGTTGTGACACTACCACCCCCGGGACCGAGCAACGGTCAAGCGCTCTGGACCTGACTCGCCGCGTGCTACTGCCCTAAGGAGGAGGAGAGGAACACTGATGAAGGACAATCCCAGAGTCCCCTTAGATGCTGGTCTGCAGATCCCCATTGAGGAGGGTCCTTTGGGTTTCCGTGGTCTCGTTTAGCCTAGATTTATCCTGCTTGCTGTCGCTCCTGTCCGCATCGTCCATGCCACTGACCTTCACCAGGCAGAGGACGTTCTGAAAGCTCTTCTTGAAGTTGTCGGACAGGAAGGCGTAGAGGATGGGGTTGGCACAGCTGTTGGCGTAGCTGAGGACCACGACAAAGTCGAACATGCCCTTGAGGGCGGGCGTGGGCACGATCAGGACGGAGACGGAGGAGACGTTGAAGATGTAGAAGGGGAGCCAGCAGAAGATGAAGACGGCGACCACAATGGAGACCATCCGGGTAACTTTCTTCTCCGACTTTTTCCTTTTGGAGGAGCCCACTCGGATGCCGGAGGACTTGACCTTGATGATGATGAATAAGTAGCAAAGGCAAATGATGGTGAGGGGCACTAGGAAGCCCAGGATGAAGGCGTAGATGATGAAGCCCGTGTACCATGCGCCGGACTCGTCCGGCCAGATGATGGTGCAGCTGCTGCGCCCGTGATTGCTCTGCACCCCGGCGTAGATCATGATGGGCATGATGACCAACAGAGAGAGCCCCCACACGGCCACGTTGATCATTTTGGCCGTCCTAGGCCGCCTCCACTTGGCAGACTTGATGGGATGGACCACGGCCAGGTACCGGTCGATGCTCATGACGGTGAGGCAGAAGATGCTGGTGAACTGGTTGATCCCGTCCACCGTCATGACGACCCGGCAGATGGCTTTGCCAAAGGGCCAGTGGACCAGCGCCACTTGCATGGCCAAGAACGGCAGCCCCAGCATGAAGAGCTCGTCGGCGATGGCCAGGTTGAGGATGTAGATATTGGTGATGGTCTTCATCTTGGCGTAGCGGAGGATGACATAGATCACCAGGGTGTTGCCGCAGAGCCCGATGATGCACACCACGAAGTAGATGAGGGTGAGGACGGCGTTGCTGGTCAGGTCGAAGTGGTTGTGGGTGACGTTCTGGGAGGCGTTGGCAGGTGTCTCGGTGGAGAGGTTGTGGAAGGGCGAGGCCGAGGAGTACCAGAACTGGGTGATGTTGGGCAGGTCCGGCTCCCCGTCCATGGCTCCGTCCTGACCGGGCGCAGACGTCTCAGAGGAAAGGGGCTCTCATCCTCGCCGGCTCGAGGGGCTGGGCGGTCTAGAAAGCGGAGAACATGGGCACAAAGGAGTCCCTTCCTGCTCCCTCTCGCAGAGCTCGCCCGGCCGGCTGCAGGCTCTGCCTCCCTTTCCCCGCAGCCTGCGCCAGCCCGTGCCCCTTCCCCACATCCGCATGCAAGCGCTTGCACGCTCAGCCCCGCGCTGTCTCGCATCCAGCCCCGCGAACAAGGGACGGCTGGACCCGGCAGCCTCACCCAGGCGTTTCTCTGCTTCGGACGCACTGAAGGCACCGGGAGAAACCCAGTGACACCACCTCATCTGGCCCCAACAACCCCAGAGAGAAAGGGGGTGACACAGACTCATCTGGCCCCAAAGACCCCAGAGCGGAAGGAGATAATACACATTCATCTGGCCCCAACAACCCCAGAGATGAAGGGGGTGATACAGCCTCACCTGGGCTTTGGGGTCCAGTGCTGAAGACCCCAGAGAGGAAGGAGATTATACAGACTCATCTGACCCCAACAACCACAGAGATGAAGGGGGTGACACAGCCTCATTTGGCCTCAAAGACCCCAGAGAGGAAGGGGTGACACAGCCTCATCCAGCTCCAAAGAGCCCGGAGAGGAAGGGGTGACACCACCTCATCTGGCCCCAACAACCCCAGAGAGAAAGGGGGTGACACAGACTCATCTGGCCCCAAAGACCCCAGAGCGGAAGGAGATGATACACACTCATCTGGCCCCAACAACCCCAGAGATGAAGGGGGTGATACAGCCTCACCTGGGCTTTGGGGTCCAGTGCTGAAGACCCCAGAGAGGAAGGAGATTATACAGACTCATCTGACCCCAACAACCACAGAGATGAAGGGGGTGACACAGCCTCATTTGGCCTCAAAGACCCCAGAGAGGAAGGGGTGACACAGCCTCATCCAGCTCCAAAGAGCCCGGAGAGGAAGGGGTGACACCACCTCATCTGGCCCCAACAACCCCAGAGAGAAAGGGGGTGACACAGACTCATCTGGCCCCAAAGACCCCAGAGCGGAAGGAGATAATACACATTCATCTGGCCCCAACAACCCCAGAGATGAAGGGGGTGATACAGCCTCACCTGGGCTGTATCACCCAGGTCCAGCCCCAAAGACCCCAGAGAGAAAGGGGGTGACACAGCCTCATCTGCCCCAAAGACCCCAGAGAGAAAGGGGTGACAGTCTCATCTGGGCTTTGGGGTCCAGCCCTAAAGACCCCAGAGAGAAAGAGATGACACAGCCTCATCTGCCCCAAAGACCCAGAGAGGAAGGGGATGATAAAGCCTCATCTGGGTTTTGGGGTCCATCCCTGAAGACCCCAGAGAGAGAGGAGATAATACAGATTAATTTGGCCCCAGAGAGAAAGGGGGGGACACAGCCTCATCTGCCCCAAAGACCCCAGAGAGGAAGGGGTGACAGTCTCATCTGGTCTTTGGGATGCAGCCCTGAAGACCGCAGAGAGCAAGGAGATAATACAGACTCATCTGGCCCCAACAACCCCAGAGATGAAGGGGTGACACAGCCTCATCTGGTCTTTGGGGTCCAGCCCCAAAGACCCCAGAGAAGCAGGGTGTTGTATCTCCCTCTCTTCCTCCTAGCTCCCCTGTGCTTTGGATGCCCCCCGGGGAGCTGAGGGGAGCCCCTAGCCATGGCATGGCTTTTCCTGCAGCCCCGCAGGCTCCAGCGAGGCCTCTCGGAGAGAAAAAGGCCAACTCCATCCAAACCCTTCCTGCAAGGTGGGCAAGGGGCCGGACTGGCTCCTTTGAGGTATTCAGACCCCTTGCACATCTTGGCTTGGAAGTCAGATGCTTCAAGAGCTTTGCAGAGGGGGTCTTGCCACCCAGGAGCCCCCCTCTAATGGCTGTTGCTAGAATTGGCTTCCTTGCCAGTTGCAGCTCTTTGGGGGTGCCCCCTGCACCTCTGCTTGAGCACCCCTCTGACCCTGGATGAGCACCGGGGGCTCTCATCTTCCTGGGGAGAGACGGGAGGCAGCGGAGCATTTGCAAAAAGCCCTGGCATGGAGGGCACAGTGTGCTCAGCAGCCTCTGGCAGCCCGTCTTTGAGCAGGGAGTGGGGTGGGAAGACCAAAAAGCAGGGTTTAGGGGAGATAACCTCTGCTCTAGCTTGTTTGAGATCTCGCAGGCAATTAAATACCAGCTCCCCCACCTCCCTCCATCACTTATCGGAGAGACAATAGCATGCAGGAAATTAAGAGCAGGTTGGAACAAAGAGCCCCAGGCCTGTGCTCCTGATCAACATGAGCAGGGGCTGGTCTGTCCCATCTGCCATTAGAAATGTGCTTGCTGGGGTAGATCTGGGGGCACCGGGTCCCCAGGACTGGCAGGAAAATCAGTAGCAGCCTCATAAATCTGAAAGGGGTGGCTGTGGGGGGGTGGGGCATGGAAAAAAGGTTTTGTCTGAAATAAATGGCACAAAAATCAATAGCAAATCAAGGTGTGTGGGTGGCAGGGGGCAGCTGTCCCCATGGGGCATTAAGAGCCTGCATGACGGGCACAAACCTAGCTCCAGTGCAGACCGAGCCCCTGTGGGGAAGGCAGAGCTGAGCACTGATCCTTTCAGGCCATGCAAAGGAGCAACGGGAGTAGGCAGGTGCTGTGTGGGGTAGGTGGAAGGGGGGTGCCCAGTGAAGGGGCACCCTGCTGCAGCAGGCATGCCGAGGAGGGGGTAGCATACAGGGCCCAGCGCTTTGTTGGGGTAGGAGACCACGGCTGTGTGAAATGAAGGCTTTGGCTCTTCTGCAGCCCTGGAGCAGCTGGAAACGAGTGCAAGTGTGACTGCTGAGGCCATGCTGAGCTGAGGTCCCCCTCGATGCTTGCTGCTTTGCCCCTTGGGAATGCTACCCCAGGGTGGAGCTGGGAGCCAGACCCTGGCAGAGGGGATGGCTGAGTGCTGGGCCTTGCTGCCGTGGGTCTGGGGAACTTCTCTGCCTCTCCATCTGCTAGCCCAAAAGCAGGACCCTAAAGCCTAGCCAGCCTCCAGGGCATGGAGAGGCTCTCTGCAGTGCTCCAACCGCTTCGGCAGGTGCCAGAGCCGTGCCAACCACAAATGTTAGGTGCGTTTCTTGCAGGAAACTTTGCCATTTCTCTCTCCACCCTCCAGCAGCTCTGGGCAGCAAATAACCAGCCCGCCGGCAAGCTACTACTGGAACTGCCCGCTGCTTGGCTAGCAGCAAGGAAAGGGCTCCAAAAGCAAATGAGATAGCCACGTTCAACCCCCACGCAGTGATCTTCTGTGTCACTGAGGTTCAGGGTTGGATCCTAACCTAATGCAGGGCATGATTGTTAATCAATGTGGTTCCTGCTGCAGCGTAGAAGGCACGTGAGCTTCGAAAAGAAAAGCAAAGATGCTCTTGAAGCAAAAAAAAAAGACCCATCCTGTTCCTATGCACACCCCACGGCTGTGAAACCAGCGGGAAAGAAACGTGGAGAAGACAGTTTGTGGCTTCTGTGCGGAGCGTTTTGTTAAGAGTCTCTTGGAAAATCAAGGACATGTGACCTGTGCCCCGTCCATGCTCCAGGAAGGAGGCTGGGGGACGTGGTGCACGCATGCCTGGTGCCCCAGTGCAGAGCGTGCGGTGTCTTCATGCCTTCTCCCAGCTACCTGGAGGAGAAGGCATCTGAACCCGTGTCCTGGGGACTCGTGGAAGGAGGCTGCAGATGGCCTCCAAGCTGGCTGGGAGCAGAACGGCTCGTTCTTCTTGCTGTCTCCTTGCTGCTTGGAGTACAGACCGCTCTGTCACGGGGGAGGCAAGCAGCCAGATCCAAATGCTTATGGAGGGACCATTGCAGCGGCACAGTCTGTGGAAACCTTCCTTCCACCTGCCCATTTAAAAGTCGGTCTGGAGAGCACCTAACCGCTGCTCTTTACCATCATCTTCACCCCTTGGTGATGGAGATGGGTCCAAAGCAAAATCCTAGAGGCATTGAATGGTTCATAGCTGGGCGTTTCACCCCCAGTTTCCCTTGGCATCAGCATGCGTGCCCCTGGGTCAGACCGGATCTGACCCTCGCAGCTGGTTCTGGGCCAGGCCTCCAGCACGCTCCTCCTCCTCCGACCCCATCCTCCTGGGTCAGGGGTCCTGGCTTGCTCTTCCCTGCAGAAGGGCAGCTACCTAGGTAGGACCCCTGTGGATCGAAGCTCTCTCAGCCGCTCCGCCTCCAGCCGGAGCCATGTAAATCCTCCACCTCTGCCGCTGCTCACCGCTTGCCCTGTCCCGAGCAGTTCATCTGAGCAGGGACAGTCCTCAGACCTAGCCGTGGCATTGCCATTAGCACCGATGCACTTCTGCCATTTCAAACGCTGCACGGTCCCATCCCTGCTCTTGATGCTGAAGTCACAGGTCTCTCACCTGCCTCCCCCCCAAAGTGTCGTCCCAGCCCACGGGGCACCTGGAAGGGCTCTTGCATCTCAGCCCCTTTGGGATTTTCTCCTGGCGCCGGGTCAGGCTGATGCAAGAAGTCTGGGAGCCCGGGGAGGAGGATTGGTGCGAAGGCTGTACAAGACTACGGCTGAGTGGGGTGGAGCAGGGGTGTCCCTTAGAGAAGTGCTGAGAGATATTGTCTGTGTTAACAAGGCATAAATAAAAGAGATCCTGGGAGCAGAGACTTGCTAGGCCTCGGGGGACTGGCTGCATGGCCACCCCTGCCCGAGGAAGGAAACCAAGGCTGCGTGGCATGGGTGTACGTGCCCCTTGCATGTGGCAGCGCTGACCTGGGTTCGGTGCATCTGCCTTCGTGGCTGGCGCTGGTTTAACAAGATCTATCTCAGCCACCGCTTTCCAGGCCCACGCCAGGGGCTGATCGGCAGCGCAGCGAGGGGACGAGTTGTTCCAGACACCTTGTTCCCAGCCTGTTCTGGTTCCTCCCAATCTGATTAGGCTGTTTCAGGGAAGGATGGGAGTTCCCCGCTCTACGCCCCTGCCCCGGAGGAGCAACCTAATGGCTCGGGCAGGGGCGGTGCAGACCGTGATGAACGTGTCACTTCATCTCTCATGG